TATAAACAAATGTGCCAAGTTTATCGATAATCAAGAAAGGGGTTTTTGAGCCATAAATAAAAAAACTATTTTTTTTAAAAAAACTTTGATACCGTGTAACTCTTTTTCTTAAAATATTGTAAGGAATCACATCTTGAAGTTGTGTGTGTGTTGGAGGCGTCAGTTGCAGCGCGACCAAGGTTGATCTATTGTACCTCTCCTTCTGCTGCTAAGTTCGGGTTTCCTGCTGAAAGCAGCCCCTCCAGTCCTAGGTCCTTTAGAAATTTTAGGATATCTAGCGGTTCCAGGGCTGGAATGTCTTCTAACTGTATAAGGGCACTTCCCAAGTTCTTCATCCTTGAGCGACTAACGGCATCGCGGTTCAGTAGAAGATGGTGAGGTGTGTCTTCTCCGTCTTCACAGAATCTGCAGATGCCACCTTCTTCTAACCTCAACTTCTGTAGATGTTTCTAGTCTGCAATATTCCGAGAGAAGTCTTGAGAATTTTCTTGCTAATGTTGACCAGCAGGTCTTTTTTGGTTGAAGTTCCTCAATAGATCTTTGGCCTGTCGTAGTCTTGGCTGTTCTAGCCATTGTTTGTTCCTTAGCCGGTTCTCTTCTTTTTTGAGGATTTCTTCGAGGTGCGCATTTCCGATACTGCAAAATGGTTCTGGCCCAGTGAAGGAAGTAGACGCTCCCGTTCTTGCGAGTTTGTCTGCGCATTCGTTGCCCTCGACACCTATGTGTCTGGGCACCCAGAGGAAAGTTACTTTATTTTGTTTTCCCAGCTCATTTAATTTCTGTAGACATTCCCATACTGTCTTAGAATTGATGACTGGGGATGTAAATGATTTGATAGCTGCTTGGCTGTCAGACATTATTACAATGTCTTGTTTCCAATAACTTCTGTTCAGGTTGAACTGCACGCATCTTCCGATCGCATGAAGTTCTGCTTGAAATATGCTTGGTGATTTCCCCATTGACTCCGAGTATCTGGTCCGTGGCCCGAATACTCTGGCTCCAGTTCCCAAAGCAGTTTTGGAACCGTCTGTGTAGCATTTATTGGTGTTTGCTTCAAGGGATGGATAGATTCCATCTGTTTTTTGTACTTGGTTCTATGGAAAGGTTTTTCTCGAAATTGAATTTATCAACAATCACGTCTTTTCGTAAATCCATGAGGTGTGCACAGTTTGGCAGAGGAAAAGTTCTGCCAAGGTGCGTTTCCCTTTGTAGACCTATTGTCTCCATTCTGAGACATGATCCACTGGCAACCCGCTTCACTATTATGTGGAGTGGTGTGAGGTCTAGAATGACTTCTAGTGCCGCGGTTGGGCATGATCCATTGCTCCTGTTATACAGAGACACGCGAGTCTTTGCAGTTTTTCTAGCTGTTACTAGCTGGGTTCAGCTATACCAGGCCACCGCTTCGTAGGCGATGATAGGTTTCACTATCATGGTATACATCCATCTTAGGATTGATGGGTTCATCCATCTTAGGATTTATGAGTTACAACCCCATGTTTTACCCGCAATGTTTTTGCAGACTATAAGTGCCGAAATTGCTGTGTTTTTTGTGTTCTCTACATGTCGGTTCCAGAGAAGTTTAGAATCTAGGGTTATTTCTAGGAATTTAACTTCTTTTTTCCAATCACCACAATTAGCCCATTGCTTGCGGGGGTAATGCTGGAATGTATGCTTCAAACAAAAATTCCAGCACCTTGGAAATATTCCATTGTCACGCCATTGTACAAAAAAGGAGATCGACATAGACTAGAAAATTATCGCCCTATTAGTCTTACTTGTAACCCGCTGAAATGTATGGAGAAAATTATAGTGAAAGAACTAATATCTGTGTAAAAAAGCATTCGACAAAGTCCCACATAACTAGAGATGCAACGTGAAAAAAAACAATCCGTTTTTTTTGTTTTTTTTCAAGTTTTTTTTCATGGTTTTTTTTCAAATGGTTTTTTTTCAGATTTTGTGTTTTTTTTCTAAATTTAGCACCATATGCGCATTTTTTACTTTTTTTGCCAATTAAACTTTTCTTGGGACAAAAAATTAGTTTAAGCAGTGAAATATCGATAAAACGTAAAATATTGTCTTATTCTATATAGAAATAACATAGGAACAATATTGGGTCTGTTTCTGCAGAAATCACAAACCAGTCAGAGCGAATTTCATTGGTTGAAAACAGTCAGAAACAGTCAGAAAACTAATTTCAACCAATGAAATTCACTCTGACTGGTTTGTGATTTCTGCAGAAACAGACCTATTTTTATGTAAATGAAACATGTTTTCAGGTCAGGTACATGGTACATCCATGTATGAACTATCATATTATATCAGATCATACAATCATCATATTTATACAACATACATACTAGAACAGAACATCACTGATATGAGACACTTTCGATGTATGAAGAATTTTCAGACTGTAACTACTATGTCTCCAGGGTCGTCAAATGTCAATTTTTTTTTACTTAAAGATGAGGTTGGAGATACTCACGAAGTTTGAAATTGAATTATTTTGAAAAAAAAAAAACACAAAAACTTGTTTTTTTTCTAGTTTTTTTTTTCATGTTTTTTTTTCAAATCTGAAAAAAACCTGCTTTTTTACATTTGAATCATTTAGAAAAAAAAACAAAAAAAACGTTTTTTTTCTGGTTTTTTTTCAATGTTTTTTTTCAAATCTGAAAAAAAAACCGTTTTTTTACATCTCTACACATAACCTGTTATTGGTGAAATTAGAGCACTTTGAAGTTAGAGGAAAGTTGCTTGCCTTGGTCAAGGATCTGCTAGAAGATAGATTTTTTCAAGTGAGAGTTAATGGAGAGCTTTCCAGTCCCCATAGGGTAACCAGTGGCGTTGTGCAGGGTTCGGTGATCGGTCCGGTGCTGTTCACAGCGTATCTTTTTGATTTGGTGGAACTAATCCAATCAAGTGTTAAATTGTTTGCAGTTGATTGCAAAATCTATGCAAACCCTTTGATAGGTGCAAATTTACTTCAAACTGATCTTAAAAACATTGAAGAGTGGTCAAAAACATGGGGAATGAAATTGAACTCCTCAAAATGCACAGTACTAAGGATTGGCCCAAGTAACCCTAACAAAGTCCATATTCTGACTGCTTTGGCATCAGTAAATAAACAAAATGATCTGGGAGTTGTAGTAACAAACGACTTGAAGTGGGAGAATCACATAATTAAAATTAAATCAAAAAAGCTAACTCCTAAGTATACCTAATTAACCATGCCTTTAGAGACCACTCCATCGAGATGATATCTACCCTTTACAAAAGCCATATAAAGCCAAAAATAGAATATGCTTTTACTGTGTGGAATCCATATTAAATTAAGCATATAGAACTTCTTGAGAAGATTCAAAAAATCCCCCACAGTTGAAACAGTTGCCATATCCGGAAACATTACTCAAATTTAATTTGACATCCCTTAAAGAAAGAAGGCACAGAGGCGATTCAATTGAAACCTACAAAATAACCAATGATTACTATCGGTGTAATCTGATAAATATTTTCCATCCATGTCGAAATCCTCATCTTCGTGGCCATTCTAAGAAGCTTGAAAAGGAAAGATCATCAAAACTACCTAGGAAAAACTTTATAGTAAACCGTGTAGTGCATTCTTGGAATTTGCTTTGCCAAAATACAGTCTCAGCACCAAACATTAATATTTTTAAAAATCGGGTTGACAGAGAATTGAAAGAATACTCAGAAAGAATAATTCATTATGGTGCACAAACTAAATCTCACATATTCTTTTTAAAAAAAATTAAAGTAACAATAGCTTCATCGGTTTCGACCGCCTGCTATTGTAATTCTAGTCGTAATTATAATAATAATAATAAAACACTGCTTCCATCGAGGCGAATGTTTCTCAGGTTTGAGAGTTTCGTTCTTTTTGTGAATGTTACCAGTGTGGTTTTTGCTGAGTTTAAATTCATCCCCACTGTCTGACACCATTCCTTCATGGTTCGAAGTGCTTTTTCCATAAGGTCGCAGAGTATTCCTTTGTATTTGCCTCGGGCCATGATGACAATATCATCGGCGTATCCAAAGCAGGTGAAGCCCTGATCGGTCAGTACATTTGAGAAGTCATCAACCACTAGACTGCATATCAAAGGTGAGAGTACTCCTCCCTAAGGACATTCTCTAGCGGTGGTGACCTGTATGGTTTGTTCACCCACATCAGTTTCTGCAGTTCTGGCTAGCCTTTCGCACATCCAGGTGGATATGGTTTTGTGCACTCTTTTTTTGACGACTGCATTCTTTATTGACTCATGAGAGGTGTTGTCAAATGCCCCCTCTAAGTCCAAGAAGGCGCAGACGGCTACTTCTTTATTATGCAATATGCTTTGGATGCTGTCAGTGACTTCAAGTGAAGCGGTTTCTGTTGATCTGCCGGCTCTGTAAGCATGCTGCCCAGGATGTAGTGACGTCTTTTAGTCTTTTCTAAAACTCTTGTTCTTATTATGTTGTTATTTACAAGTTTGTCGGCTGTTTTAAGCAAGAACGATGAAGGCATGTAGGTCTGAACGACTTCGGAAGAGTGGCATCTCTTTTCCCTGCCTTTGGGATGAACGTTACTTTAGCTCTTCTCCATTGACTGAATATGTATCCGGTTGCTAAGCTGTATCTGATCAGTTTGATCCTGAAGTTACAAACCGTACTTAGGAAACACCCTGTATATTTTTCCATTTTCTGACCACCCTGTACATGCTATTTCAAGTTTTAAAAGTTTAATTTTTTTTTTTCAACAAGCAGAAACTTTTATGAAGAATAACTTTTTTTTCGTAAAATTGATAATAAAAAAAGTTTCCCATATGCTGCGAACTTAAATATACACACTGTATAATTGTTGACTTGGCTCAATAATTTTCGTTCTTCCTATGGTTCTTCATAGTCTACCATTTTCTCTATCTCTGATTGGTACACGCCTTGAAAACTTATCAAATTAGTTTCTATGCATTTTTACAAAAGTTCTATTTTTTATTTATTTGCAGGTCAGACGGACAGCGGGAACACTATTATCAGCGGCAGTTGGACGGATAACGCTGAGGGATATAAAATTCATGCTAGAGATACCTTCCAAGCATAGCTGGATACCAAAAATACGTTCTTTACCAGGTTACGGATTGTACCTCTGCGAAATTGAATATTAGAAAATTGACTATAATTAATAGGTCAAATCAATAGTTAAACAGACACATTTTGTATACCTTTTGATTTTTAACAAATCTAACTTTAAAATGGTTGGATCAAGAGTATATGTAGGTGGCTTGCCCTATGGTACAAACGAAAGAGATTTGGAGCGTTTTTTTAGAGGTTATGGGCGCATGCGTGAAGTAACCATTAAGTCAGGATATGGATTTGTTGAATTTGATGATTACCGAGATGCTGATGATGCGGTCTATGAATTGAATGGTAAACGAATAATGGGTGAAAGAGTTACAGTTGAAAGGGCACGAGGTACTCCGAGAGGTAGAGATAGATGGGGTGATTCTGGTAGTAGTAGCCGTGGTAGAGACAGAGAAAGAACAAGTGGTAGAGATCGTTATGGGCCTCCTACCCGCACAGCTCACAGAGTTATTGTTGAAAATTTATCCAGTAGAGTATCCTGGCAAGACCTTAAAGATTACATGCGTCAAGCTGGAGAAGTTACCTATGCAGATGCCCACCGTGAACACAAGAATGAAGGAGTGGTTGAGTTTGCAAGCCGCAGTGATATGAAGAATGCCATAGAAAAACTGGACGACACCGAGCTCAATGGACGGCGTATTAAGGTTGTTGAAGACAAGTCCAAGAGTAGACGTAGAGGAGATTCAAGCTCCAGAAGCCGGTCCAGATCCCGATCTGGTGGCCGCAGATCACAAAGTGGCAGCAAATCCAAAAGCAGAAGCAAGTCAAGATCAAAAAGCAAAGACAAGTTGTCCAGGTCGCGTAGCCGTTCGGTTAAGAGATCTAGATCCCCACGCTCTGGATCCAGAGAGATGAAAAAACCCCGTCAAGATCGATCCAGGTCCGGCTCCAAGACTAATGGACGGGAAGACAGATCAAAGTCTAAAGAGGATGATCGTGATGCTCGCTCCCAGTCCAGAGATGGCCGTTCACGTTCTGTGTCCAAAGAAAATGGACATGGTTCCAGATCAGTCTCTAGGGAGGCTTCCAAGTCTAGAGAGGCTTCCAAGGAACTCTCTAGAAGTAAAAGCAGGTCAAGGTCAAAGAGCAACTAATAGGTTACTAGGTAAAAAGAGTGTGAATAATACTGTTCAAAGGTGGTAAAAAAAAATTCCTCAGGTCGCTACTAAAACTATCAATCATTTCATCTTTTTTTTTTTTTAATTCGATATTGTCACCGAAACAAGCTGATTAATTTTAAAAAAGTCCCTGGAACACTTTAATATTTTTTTAGAATTTGATTAAATATTAGCCAAGGGCGTCATATGGGTAGGTATACATATGTATGACATTAAGGTATAAAAACAAGCCCATGTTTCTTAGACGGAATAATCCCTGGAATGGAAAAATACATCCTATTCTAGATTCTACACCATTTCAACATCAATTTCGGAAAAAGTAACTTTTATTTAGGAAAATGTCAAGTCATTTCCGGAAAAAGTCAAATTAATTTCAGAAAAAGTAAAGTTAATTTCGGAAAAAGTAAATTCAAATTCGGAAAAAGTAAATTCAAATTCGGCAAAAGTAAGCTATGAATAAATTTACATTTTCCGAATTTGAATTTCCTTTTTCCGAAATTAACTTTACTTTTTCCGAAATTAACTTTACTTTTTCTGAAATTGATTTGACTTTTTCCGAAAATGACTTTACATTTTCCTAAATAAAAGTTACTTTTTCCGAAATTGAGGTTGAAATGGTGTAGATTTAAAAAAAAAACAATTGCACTTGAACATACCTAATTATGTTTTTCAATTTATTCTGGTTTAAGTAACAGCAAGGAGATTTGTACACTGCTGTAACAGTAAAAAAGTACCCGAACTTGCTCAAACCAGAAACAGCAGTAAATGACATGTTCAGGAAAAAATGCTGAATCCCAAGGCACGAGCAGTATTTTTTACACTCTTGATAGATAGGCTTAAATAGGCTTTAAGAACTTTTTTGTTATGGTCAACGTTTTTGTAGTAGTATTCTTTTATCCACTGATTTTAATTAGTTATGGCAGATTTCCTATCAACAGCATTATATCGATTTAAATAGATATTCTTGGTCGTCAAATCAGGACAATTAAAAATCATACTTTTTCCCATGAAATTAAATTTTGCCAGTTATTAACAGTACACATATATTCTAACTTTTCATATTGTTTTTCCTCAAACCTATTATGGAAATTATTTTCAAGCAGAATAGAGAAAAAGAGCTCATCATTCAATGAAGTATCCTGATTTTGAAGATTTACAATTTTAATCAATTGATAAATATTCTTAATGCTGAATAAATTTCCTAATGAAAAGTGCTTGCAGGTATGTTTTTATGAAAGCATTACAAGAACCGTGTGTCGGTGGTTTTTTGAATTACTTATGCTGTTAAGTCTGAATAAGCAACTCAAAATAATATTGATAATAAAAATAAAAATTGATATAATGCTGAAAAGGATAAAAAAGTTAATAGCATACTTAAGTATTTTCCTAACTTTTATGAAATACAGTAATCCTTGTTTATTTTCCAAGCATTCACATGATTAATTAGTTACTTAGCAATTCACAAAATGCATCTTCTTAACAGTGTGACCAATCTAATCGGAATATTTACAATATGGTCAACGAAGACAAAATCAGAAAATTAGGGGGACACATTAAAAAACTAGATGTGTCTCATAGCATACAGTGAATTTTCCATATAGAAAATATTTTGATTAAATTAGCTATTTAGTGCCAGATTTGAATTACCATGCAGGCCAACTCTGCATACATTTTTTTGATCCAATGTGTTTATCTTGAAAAGCTGAAACATTTTAGTAGATTTACTTCAACAAAAACACAGAAAATAAAAATGTTAATTTTGATGAAAAAGACAGTAGTCGCAGTTTATTCAAACACTCCTATCATAAGTTTTTGTTGAAATAAATATGGTAACTAATGTTAATGAATTTTTTGCGCTTGTACAGTTTTTTTTTTGTTTCAGTTTAATTGATAACGAACAAATGTTTCAATAAATTTAGGAGTTGTGACCTTACTATGAGTTTTTTATCAGCATTGCAAGAAAAAAAGTCAAAACTGAAACCAACTGATACAATTGTGACCCAGCAGGATGGCCAGAAGTTTGTGGAATCCAAGTTTGAAGTAAAAAAAATTAATGAAGTTACTCATGGTTTTGTGGTAGATACAAAACCAGATGATATTCCTGCTAAAATAATTGAACATCTTTATTTGGGTTCACAAGACTGTTGTGAACTTGAAGTTTTGAATAAATTCAACATCAAATTTGTATTAAGTCTTGGCATAGAAGCTTCAGTTAAATCTCCATACATTACTTATAAATTTATAAAAATGTTAGATCTTGATTCCATCGATTTAAACAAATATCTCCCTGATTGTATAAGTTTTATTGATAATTGCCTCAATTGTAAAGAAAATGTTCTAGTACATTGCAACGCGGGCGTTAGTAGATCGGCATCTGTTGTAATGTCTTATCTTATTGTTCAAAATAAATTAAGTTTCAAAAATGCTTACGAACTTGTTAAAAAGGCAAGGCCTTGTATTAGGCCCAATGATGGTTTTATGATACAGTTAAGAAAGTTGAAAAATAATTAATATTATTATTTTTTTTTTGTCTACAATTGCTATAGATTTGTATTTTAATTATTTTGTATATTAGTTAATTTGAGTTAAATGATAATTATTTCATAATTAATATTTAATTGTAATATCTTGATACCTATTGGAAATAAAATTTTTATCCACTAGTGTTTTTTTTTTTTTAAGTAATACAGAAGTGTGTACTCTAAACAAAATTATCTACAGTCTGATATCCTCTCAAAAGATTAACAAAAGGTAGTTCATTCAGTAAAGGAAATTTTATTCTTTTTGGATTGAAACCGGAAATTAACGAAATGTTTAATAAATTTGAGGGATCCGACCATATTCCCTTTATAACTCAAAATATTCTTGGTATTTTAATTGAAGGTAAATATTTGATTTAATCTAAATTTGATATTAAAATTCTTAAGGTTTTTATAATGATGGTGTAGAGAGACTGCAAAAATATATTTTTTTTTTCCAATGATTGCAGAACATTGTAGGGATTCATGATGGTGATTTGCTTAACTGATCAAACCAATAATTATAGACCCCTGTTCATTCATAAATCCAACATTTTTGGATAAATTGTAAATATTATTAGGATGATTGATATATCTTTCTGCAAAATAATTTGCTTCATGTCGGTTGTCTCCCAAAGCACTCTATTGGTAAAAACTGTGATTTTCAAATTACATACTGGAACAAATTGATATTACCTTACTTATTACATTTATTACATTTCTTTATTGTAATTAATACAAGAAAGTTGAATAAAACAAAACTTTATAAGCACATTTTTATTATATAACAATGAGAAAATAGAATATACAATAATACAATCTATGAAAAAATCTGGAATGTGTGTAAAATATAAGTAACAAGATTGGAATTAACATACAGTTTAGGAATCATTTAGCTGAGTATATACAGTTATTCAGATCATGAAATTATAATACTAGAGAAACAATACAGGAAATTTGAGAATACATTTTTCATGAGAAAATTTGGTCCAAAGTATAGTGATAGTGATTTCTTTTTATTTTTTCAATTATAGCCTGGTCTTCATTCATCCATTTGATGTTTTCTCTTTTACCAAGTATGTTCCCATCAGGTGGAAACTGTTCACCCAATATGAAGAAAGTACGAATGCGAATGATAAAACAACTGGAATTTGAACAATACAATTGCAAATGCAGCAATGGTTATTTTATGTGTTTATAATTTTTTTTTGTCAAATTTTTAAGCATCCGTCTCAGTCAGAACTTGCAAAATATCAAAAGTATACAAGTACTCTTGTTTCACATCTAGCTACCTTGTTAATTTATTTTATAGATGTAGGTTTTAATAAATATTTGAATTGGCTTCACAGATAACTACCATGGGATTTGTATCACTTAAAGAAAAATCGAGTGTCTGCGAATCTCTGCAAGATTCAATAAAAACTTAAAAATTGAAATATTCTTGTTGTGTCCAGTTATAAGGAATCCCTTAATTTTTTTTTTTAAGTACACAGGTTCATTGTACATAATGTGCTACCCAAAGACCCTAGAAACCAAGAGACTCAATATGTATTTTACTTTGAAAGTTTATAATAAATTGATTCTCAACTCATTAGCATAAGCATTTCCTGTAATTTTGCATTGACATTTATGCCCGTATCCACCAATAAGCACCCTAACCATTTGTTATGTAACTGTAAGCTTACACTAACTGGTAGTTTAGTTTATTACCGTATCCGCCATCAGTTTTTGTTATGTAGTTAGGAAAGTCCCAGTTATCTTCCAGCACATTCTTAGAAATGTCACTAATGACATATTTTATATTTTTCGTTCGTGGTGGTCATGTTAGTTTGTCAAATTTGTGGTTGAAAAAGTTCGAAAAATCTATATGTTCAAGTTTTTATTGAAATAAAGCTTGAATACTGAATACTTATAAAAAAAGACTATAGGATGACCAAGTTATTGAAGAAGTTTTCAATGATCTGTGGCCTATGATTAATTAAAAGTGGATTATTATTTTCGGCGGGCATCTCTGGAATATTTCCTTGGTCAATTAAATAGTTTAACATATCTGCATCCTGCATCAATATCTTCAGGGACTGGCGGCAGTTCTCCCATTCTTCGAGCTATATTGTGTAAGATTCCTGTTGCCACTAGTCAGGCATATCTTCAAAATAATCAGGCGTTTCCCACTGATTTTTAGGAATCATATCCTGCACTATATCAATAAGGATGTCATCGTCAAATAGTTCATTTTCCATTGTCCAGCAATTATGAATAGGATTAAAGATCATCTTCTAACATAGACAATGATCTAATATTACATTAAAAAACGAAAAAAATTATCTTTTGACATATCAAGAGTAGACATTTCCTCAAAATAACCAACGGTTATATTTTTTAACTGGCTAAAATTCGCCAGTTTTATTTAACACCCAGTTAAGTACAAAATTTTGTTGGTGGATATGAAAATGACTGCTTAACTACAAGTTAAAAAATAACTGTTGTTTTTTGACGTTGGTGGATACGGGCATTAATAACATAAAATCTATCACATCGCCATCGTTAATTATTATTTACCCTCTGTAACTATTGGAAAAAAGCTTTCTTACCAATAATTGTTTTTGAAAGCATTTTATGATTGAAACGATTGGTAACTTAGTTTCTGCGGTATTTGGTTCTAGATGCCTCCCTTTATTGTATAATATATTAAGTACATTAGTTTGGTCCTAATATTTATCAGTTGTCACAGCAAAAGCTGCCAATAAAAATAAAAAAATTAATAAAATAAAATATGCATAAAAAAAATTAGATCAAACTTAAAAATTATTGGAAGTTTTTATTTTATTTGGCTACTAAACATCCCAACTAATAAAAACATAAACTCTAAAAACAGGTCTAACTTAAGTTCTTTTATGTGAATAAAATAAAAACTTCCCATTAAAAAAATAATAATAATAATGAACAAAATTAATATGTTTTCTAAAATTCATACAGGCAACCATGAAAATCGCTCAAATATGACTTCTGCTGCCACCAAGTCCCCTCGCTGGCAAGCTATTGCTTTTCCCTCTGGAATTTTCTTTTCCACCTTGTCCACCGCTCTCTCTGGAATGTGCCACAACAATGCTCAGACACTGAACCCATTCTTCTGCGTTTTTACCATCACTCGGTTTGAGAATGAGCGTTTGGTTCTCTGTGAATATTTCAAAAGCCTTTGGTATGTTACGAGCACCACGAGATACACGAACTGAACGTATTTGGTGGACGTCAATTGATTCTCCTCCGCTCTGAAATTAGAGATGATAAATGAATTCAAATTTAAAATGAGAGTAGTGCATAAACAGTGATCTACTCTATAAGTCCAGGAAAAGACCTATTAACAAATTTATTAAGGTAAGGTGGGAGTTTTATTACCGATGTTACTGATTCGCTAGACTTCAATACCAATGTTACTGATTCCCTGGACTGTGGGGTAAACCTATGTATGTATTTTTCCCAATTTTACAGTGACCCTCAGAAACTGTATAGTCTTAGAAATGGGAATAGATTTGTGGTTTATTTTTACTGGCAGTACATTCCAAATAGATCTATTTTTATGGAAACTTAAATTTTGTTGTGGCAACACCACTTTTTATAAACTCTGCCACCCGAGAGCAAACGACAATTTCCCCTTTATTATGATCGTGCAGGTCATCGACATAATATCTCGCCGGCACAAAATTCCGCCACCACGAAATTTCGGCCAAGTTTGATGTTTTATAACTTTTTCATTTATTATCCGATTTCTGTGATTTTGTTATCAGTTTGTAGATCAATTTATTGTATTTTTCTCTAATTATTTCATGAAATAACATTTTTCGATTACACTATATTATACAGGAGTAAAGCAAACTGTTGTTTTTGGTCGTAACTTCAAAACACCCTCTAGGAAAATTGAGGTGTATAATTTTACTTATATACTGTTCCTTGTTATCCATGATGTATTATAAACATTTCGTTTTTTTGATTCATTCCATTATCTCATTTCTGTGGCAGAAGCTGGGCCTGATTCACGATATATATGTCTACAATTGACGTGTCTCGTATTACCTGGTGTGCGCGCGCAACTCGTGGGTTGCAGGTGAGCGTCCAATGAAAATTGAGGTTGTTACGGGCTTGCGTCATATTCGTATTCAGGGACGAGATCAGAATTAATCGTTCCTTCTTTCTTTGTAACGTGTAATTTGACAAAGAGCAAACTAATACTTTACGTATTACTTGAACTTATCGCAGTGTCGTTTAAGGTTATGTTAGATTATACTTGACATATTCCTTTGCAATTTCATTGTGTGATGTTGCCGGATGAAACATTTATCAAAATAAAAGTGCCATCGATGTTAACATACACTTTAAAGATCTTCTTTTATCTGATTTAAGGCGTTGTAAACCACATGACAATATATCACTTCTTTAATGTTATAATGTTCGATTTGTATTGTCTAAATTTGCTTTGCAATAATACAATCTGGCTACACTGCAGCCACGAGTCGCGCGCGCATGTCATTTTTTATTACTTTCTAACTTGTATTTATTACAATTAAGCTCTCTTTTTCTATTTCTGCGAGACACGTCAATTATTTCCTCGGCATCGACAACACCAACTAAGGTTTGCACGATTGCACTATTTCCACTGAAGCACGCACCGATCTTGTATTTGGCGTGAAAATGCAGCTCTAACCGACCACTGTCTGTCATAGAATAACAAATAATCAGAAGGAACACAGGAAGAGAGATCCGAGATCACGGAGGAAGCCACTCCCCTTGGGCAACGATGCAGATATTTTCAGTGGTAGCGCATCACCAGTTAGTTTTATCATTATTCTTGACGTCAAATGTCGTCGGGAGACAGTTGGTTTTACCAGTGTGTGCCACTGATATTTCCTCCGTTAGCCCGGTTCAAGGTCATAGAAAAGCAAATCGGATCTCTCTTTCTGTGTTCCTTCTGATTGTTTGTAATTATGTGGTTCTGTGCTCCAATTGGTTGATTTTCTAAAATCCGTTTTGGAAGAGAAGAAAAAGCGTCACATCAGAATTGGCTGAAATTTGGCATAAATATTCCTTGAGCGATTATCTACAATCCGAATATTTTAGGTTTTCGATATTTTGCGTTTGTCTCAAAATGTAAAGGTGCTAATCTGGTTGCCTATTTTTCAGGATTTAGGTCTTTACGGATTATTTCTAAGAACTTTCTTGACGAATAGCCTCATATTCTTCGGTCAGCGCCAGTCGTGAATCTTGCAAGGTTTGTGGTTGCACAGGATGACGACGAATCGTCCTTCTAAGTTGATCCCAAGGATGTTGGATTAAGTTGAGATCCGGGTTACATGGGAGCCATTCCAATCTTGCAATTCCAACTTCATCCAGATATTCGCTCATTACATGTAAAACGTGAGGTTAAGCATTATCAGGCAATAATGTAAATTGGTTCCCAATGAGCAAATGAAACAACCCTTTGGAGAATTTCCTCAATGTAAGGGTAGGCGGTTAGAGCTTCATTTTCACCCCAAATACGTCATGATCGGTGCGTGCTTCGGTAGAAATACCCGCCCAAATCATGACTGAACCGCCATGATATGAGATGCGTTCCGATATGGAGTCAGCTATCTTTCATTTCCACGTCTGTATCCATACCCACTCACGACTATCCGGCGACCTTGAACAAACCCTGGATTCATCTGTGAATAGTACGTTTCCCCACTGTTCTAGAGACCAGTCAGGATGCAATCTTGCAAACCTCAGTGGTTGTTGTCGATGCCGAGGAAGTTATTGTAGACATATTGATGGCCTTCGTGAATGGAGCCCAGCTTCTGCCAATCTTCGTATTGTTCTTTCACTCACATGTACCTATCAGACAAATCATTTGCAAGTAATTTTTTATACACAAAGCAGTAGATTTTCGATCTCTTGACGAACTAACAATGACAAAGCGATCATCAGACGTAGTGGTCATTCTCCTTCTGAATGAGCCTTGTCGCCTAGTGAAATTTCCCGTCTGTTGACATTCTGTCACAATAAACGCGTTAGCGAACGTCGATAATTTTTATCGAAAGCTTGACGAACATTTTAAAAAAATAGCACCGTTTCAATGAAAAATTTGCAGCTCGCAGCAGGAACAAAATAATGAAATGAATCAAAAAACGAAATATTTAGACTACATGAAAGATAACAAGGAACAGTATATTATTAAAATTATACACCTCAATTTTCCTACACGGTGTTTTGAAGTTACCACTAAAAACAACAGTTTGCTTTACTCGTGTATAATACAGGGTGTCCCACGGTGGATGGAGTATTAGACGTTTATGGAGAACTAAAAAGCGGACCATTTTGAAAATTTGGCAACCGGGATAAACGACCATGATCTACACTTTAAAAATATTTTTGACCATGCGGTGTTGCCGCTTCTACTCTAAACTAGTGGCAACATCACTATTTTAAATGGAACACCCCGTATTAAATTGCATATTTGGATTCTACGTGAAATTCTAAGCAGATTTCATGTGATATACCCTATACCTAAGTTCAACTGTTTTGGAAATATTGACAGTTGAAAATTGACTTTTTGCAACTTTGACAGGCTGTAGAACCTGAACGGTTAATTTTAGAGGAAAACCGATTTTACATTCCTATCTTAGATTTTTATAAACTATCATTTGACACCAACTTAGAATTAAATCCATGATTAAAAATTTCAGTTAAATTTAATCTCCGGTTAAGTTCAAAGTTGGTGTCAAATGATAGTTTATCAAAATCTAAGATAGGAATGTGAAATCGATTTTCCTCTAAAATTAACCAATTAGGTTTTACAGCCTGTCAAAGTTGCAAAAAGTCAATTTTCAACTGTCAATATTTCCAAAACAGTTGAACTTAGGTATAGGGTATATCACATGAAATCTGCTCAGAATTTTACGTAGAATCCAAATATGCAATTTAATACGGGGTGTTCCATTTAAAATAGTGATGTTGCCACTAGTTTGGAGTAGAAGAGGCAACACCGCATGGTCAAAAATATTTTTAAAGTGTAGATCATGGTCGTTTATCCCGGTTGCCAAATTTTCAAAATGATTCGCTTTTTAGTTCTCCATAAACGTCTAATACGCCATCCACCGTGGGACACCCTGTATAGTGTAATCGAAAAATGATACTTTATGAAATAATTAGAGAAAAACACAATAAATGGATCTACAAACTGATAACAAAATCACGGAAATCGGATAATAAATAAAAAAGTTATAAAACATCAAACTTGGCCGAAATTTAAGGGTGGCGGAATTTTGTGCCGGCGAGTGTAGTAGGACCAAGAATGGAACCCTGTAACTAGTGAACCCCATAATTGAAAACTGAACTTACCGAGCCTTTACATGATAAATGAGCTCCAGATAGAGTAAAGTAACGTGTCCGCCATCTCCTGAAGAGTCGCCATTTTCCTTTCTTCTCTTTTAGTTGGCCTTCGATCACAGGTTGCGTATCTCCTAAAGACAAGGAAAATATATAAAATGTTTACAGTTTTGCAATTCATCGTTTTCAGGATTGAATTTAGAATTGTTGGATGACGCGATTAATCCTACGGTAACAGAAATTTCAAAAAATGACGATAATTTAATAAAAAACAAATTGACTTTTCAACAAGATGGTGCAATTACTTTGCGACAATTTTTGAATCAGCATCGTCTAGGACGAGGTTCCATCCAGATGACCTAATCTTTCTCCTTTGGACTTTTTCCTGTAGGAACATTTGAAATCGCGAGTGCACGCACGCTAGGCAACCAAAGGTATTTTAAAAATTGTAGGAGAATGCCGATTGTGACGACCTGAACACCCAGTAAGGTCAGAAGAAAAATGCATGATAGGATTTGTTATTGTTTTTCAAGTTAGCGCTATTTTGAGCAATTGATTAGATAGAAAAACTCTTTTAACTTCAGCATTTTTGTTTCAAACAGAATATTTTTTCTTACACAACATCAATCAAGAGCATCAAAAAAAGAAAATGTGGTTGTGTACAGGATAAAAATACCTTCAATTTCATGTGTCTCAAATGACCATTTTGTGCCTTTTTCAAGATCAGGGGGATCGAGCATTTGTTGGATGACCCTGTATACTTTCATTGATATCTTTTACTACACCGACATTCTTAACAAATTATACAGTCTACATTCAAAAATGTTACTGAGAAGATAAAACAATAGAAAACTAGATGTAATGTTGGTACCACAGGGGGAATCAGAAAACTCAAATAATAACATACGTGAAAGTTTTTTAGAGCCAGTTCTTGATGTTCGGACATTACCTTAGTGACCGTTAACATACATTTAAGATGAACTTGAAACTCCCAATATTGTGCTTCTTTGTAAGCACTGGTTAAAACCAAAAAAACTATTTTTATACCTAATTATACTTTATTGACTAAGTACTCTGTCGTTTTGAAACTACTTGCGGAGGCACATTGTTACTTTTTCAGGATGAATTCCTGGACTTATATTGTTTTGAAAACTATGATAAATTCAATTACGTTAATGAAGTAAAATTGTTTGAGTTTTCAATGGTATATTGTAGTGAACTTAGATTGTATGTTATCTGCATATAGATCTCCCAGAAACAGTTTCGGAGCATTTTTATTTAAATTAGAAATTATAGATTTGTTCCAACCCAGCAGGAAACCGTAATATTACCGTCAGGATTCTGCGCAAAACCTAACATTTTTGCGTAGAAACCGAAATTCGTATACAGAGTGGTTCTGGGACGATTTTTTGACGGGTTGGAACAAATCTATTATTTTCACAGTTACCTGTTCACTGTCATGTTATTTTGTGAAAGGAAAACAGAAACCCTGGATTACCAAAGGTTTAAAAGTATCATCAAAAAACATCGCTGCACTACATTACAAAATACTTCATGCAAAATGAATAATTTAGTCATTTATACTCTTCCTATAGAAAAATATATACACAAGTAATTAAATGTGCCAAGAATCTCTACTATAACAATAGAATTACTAGGTCGAATAACAGGCAAAGGGAGGCATGGATAATAGTCAATGAGTTAAAAGGTTGCAGTAAGTCTGTAGGTGTGGAATCTTAGCTATGTGCGAATCAAATAAATACGTTTTTGTGTTCTGTTGCTTCCGATTTCTCAAATAAACTACCAAATAATGTTTCTTTTAACGAATTTACAAAGGTTATTTGCATACAGGATTCATTCTTCCTATATCCCACAGATATTATTGAACTTAAGGAGACTATAACGGGAATAGAAAAGAACTGCTTGGCCAGTTGGGATGGCATAACGATCAAATGGTTTTCTGAGCTCCAAGATAATGCCATGTTTATTTTGGCGGAGTGCATTAATATATCCTTTAGTGATGCTATCTTTCCTGATTGCTTAAAAAAAGCTGTAATTATGCCTTTGTCCAAGAGTGGGGATCAAGATGATGCTAGCAACTACAGGCCTATAGCGTTGTTACCCACGTTGTCTAGAATTGTGGAGAGATTGGTCAAAAAGCGAATACCTACAGTCATGTCTGTGAAAACATGGTATTTGAAGTTTGCATCAGTTCAGGTTTCAAACAAATATAAGTACAAACGATGATTTGTTTCCTTTTCTTGAAAATTTATATTTGAGTTTAAATAATAAGCAAGTGGCTGCTGCTGTGTTCTGTGACCTTTCGAAAGGGTTTGATTGTGTGGATCACAGAATACTGCTGCAAAAACTGGAGCTATATGGCTTTAGAGGTAAAGCACTTGACTGGTTTCGGTCATATCTGTTCGAAAGAATGCAGACAGTAAACTTTAACAGTTGTTCTTCAGAACAGCTAAAAACTAATTCTGATGTGCAGGAATCAGTACTGGACCCAATGTGTTCAGGTCCGCCAGAACATACAGAATCGGATAGCAGGATTCTAGATTTTACAGTGCTATTCGGGAAAGAGGGCTATCGCGTGTATTCTGGATTTAACAAGAATGGAATATGGATATACCGGGTGTCTACGAGCTTAGTTTCGCGCTGGCATTTGCTGATTTTTTTTTCAATGGCAAAGATTTTTGGTATAGAGTATAGGTTTAAGAAATGCCATCTTTTGACATATGTGTCAATGTTTTGTAACTTCTGGTTTGACTGGAAATGGCCCTAACTTCGTAATTTAGAATGGCATCCCAAGAATTTTTTTGCGTTTTTGGGATCTGCGGATCTTGATGTGTATGAAAACGTCAAATTTGAACATTTTTGAAGAAACTTTAGAAATCTGGATCAAAATTTATTTTTGAATAGGAAGTGACAGAATGGTCTTTAAATTGTTTTTGCCAACTCACACGATCGTAGAAAAATACGAATGCCATGTTGTTATCCTTGGCTTGTTCTCCATAAGCTTCCAAAGTTGTAAAAATCACATTTCACGTGATAACTCAATGGAATCAGTGAAATCACCCAACTTTCACAACAAGAGTTTTTTACCTTTTTCATAATGGAACTAACTTTTCATTTATGTCAGTTTTTAATTATTTTTTAATTATTTTTACTTGTTAAATGATAAGATAAAACTACTTATAAATGAAACCCTGTATTTAAACTTTGTATTTACAAATTCTTGAGATGCCAAAGAATGACAAATGTCTATGCAAACAAACATATCTTGTCCATAGATCTTGTCAATGGCTTGACAAATAAAAAAAGACCACCAGCTCCTTTAGGACAGCGTTTTTTCATACAGGGGTTCATTTATAAGTAGTTTCATCATTTATAGTAGTGCATAATAAAAATAATGAGAAAATAATTAAAAACTGGAATAAATGAAAAGTTTTAATGCATAATTGATTTTATTTTGAAAAAGGTAAAAATCTCTTGTGAAAGTTGGGCGATTTCACTGATTTCATTGAGTTATCACGTAAAATGTGATTTTTTCAACTTTGGAAGCCTTTGGAGAACAAGCAAAGGATAACAACTTGGCGTTCGCATTTTTCTACGATCGTGTGGTTGAAAAAAACAATTTAAATGCCATTCTGTCACTTTCAATTCAAAAATAAATTTTCATCCGGAATTCTAAAATTTCTTCAAAAATGTTCAAATTTGACGTTTTCATACACATTATTATCCGCAGATCCCAAAAATGCGAAAAAATTCTTGGGATGCGATTCTAAATTACGAAGTTAAGGCAATTTCCAGTCAAACCGGAAGATACCAAACATTGACACATATGTCAAAAGATGACATTTCTCAAACCTATACTCTATACCAAAAATCTTTGCCATTGAAAAAAAAATCAGCAATTGCCAGCGCGAAACTAATCTCGTAGATACCCGGTATGTATAAAGGGCGGTATTAGTAGTTTTTAAGTTTAAGATTGGCTATGATACATTTTAGATAGTAATTATTGTAAGAGTCGTAGAGAGTTAAGTTGTTTCAGTTAATTAGTGGAGTAATTAGTGTCAGAGTATGTAGTAACGTGAAATAAATTATTGTTGTGTCAATTGAACTTTGAATTTAGAATAAACGAACCCAAGATTTCTGTCACGCTACCCCGAGCCTCACGGCAATACATTGTCAAGTGCTTTGGTGGTTCATTTACTATAATAATTAAAAATCATTCCAATGTATTTTTAAAATTATCATCAACTGGTAGATGAATGGCCTGTTTAGAGGAATTTATCTGCAATAGGTATGCATGTTAATATCTGACTTACCTCTCAAAAATCCCATAGCTTTTTCAGGATGCGCGCATAGAAAACAACCCCATTTAATCCCTCCAATATTGGTAAGAGGGCCACTGCCTTCTAAGTGATCCGCCGAACCTCCTATGCTTGGTGGGCATACTTGAAACACATCGAAATATCCTGCGTGTCTTAGTTCGCTTAGTAAGGCTTCTTGGTCCTAGTAATAAATATTGTATTTGCACAATTACAAGGAAGAGTTATTCACTGTTAATTACCTTAGTACATGGGAAAGCACTCGTCACAACCGTCAAGAATGTCTTGTTTTCTGCCTTTAAAATATCCCAGCAATGCTTCAGACTGGCTACTTGAGCATCTCTGGAACTAAGGGCGTGCGAATGTCTAGCCTGTAAAAGTTAATTTGACTTTGGAGTATTTGCCAACGGAAAGTACAATAATAATTCATGTGAACATAATGTAGTTAAATAAAAATATAAATGCCATTAAGGTACCTGCAATGAAATAAACATTAAATGAATCCATATCCTAGGGTTTCTGGTCCTCATAGTGAAATATGTTTTAGAATAAAGGCAATGCTGACCTCTAGCCTGACAAGCGAAATGCAACTTGGCCGATTTTTTCTGTCTCTTTTCTTCAATTGTACATTTAGCAGGTGATGGTATTTTCAAAGAAACCTTTTCCATGTAGAGTTTGATTTTGTCCAAGTGCTTCTCACAGAAATGCTTAAAATGTATATTTTTTTACTTTTTTGCTTCCTTTTAGATATGCATACTCAAATAAATTTGATATTTAGAATCTTTTGTTATTGCTCGACTAGAGCAGCATTTGAATTTGGGAAAAAAATATATCCTAATTTGATATAGGTTATACTGTTTTAAATAAATAGGTTATTACCTGAATCGTGTCCCTCATTGGATATGGCTCAAAGACACTCATCCTCTGATTAGCAATTGAGTTTTGGTTGATAAGTGTAACGCTGGTATTATTATTGTTGTTTCTACGGGATATAACTGTAGTTGGCCCGGTTACATTTACGTTACCTATAATTTTTGATAACAAATAAACCAAATAAATAAAAATTTTAAAAGACCAAGCCCATACCATCATCCGATCTCCTTTCATTGAAGCAAAAAATAAAAATGTGTAAAAAAAATCAAAATATATTCGTGGTAAGTGGTATCACCACGTTCCGCTACTGCGCTGGCAGTCCGGTTCCAACAATGAGTAACAGATAGCATGATGGCGCCTCCAGGATCAAAATATTCCGGAGGTAAAATACCCGACCACTCGGATCTCCGGGCGTCGGGTGATCCTGGGGGTCCTTCATGCAAAGATATAAAGAGAAGATCAAAAACTCAACTCAGAATTGATTTTAGCAATATAAGAGGAATAAGTACAAATATGAATTCAGTTCACCAACATCTTGAAGAACAAAGACCTGACATCCTTGTTCTCACTGAAACTAAAATCAGTTCTGCAACACCTATTGTGAACTATCCTTATCCCGGCTATGACCTACACCACCGATTTCGACATAATTTTGGGATCTGTGTGTACATTAAAAATGACCTTTCATGTCATCGAGAGGAGAAGCTAGAACCAGCGAACCTTGATATCATATGGCTAAAATTCACCTCAAAGTCATCAACCAAGTTTATCTGCTGCCTCTACCGACCGCCATCTAACACCGAGTACCAAAACTTTTTCGCGACATTATCCGAAAGCTGTGATAGTATACAGTCAAACTATCCACAGGCGGAAATTGTCTTTTTAGGCGATTTCAACGTCCACAATATACCCTGGCTGAAACACCACAACAAAACAGATAACGAAGGCAGAGAAGCAGAAGCTTTTGCCATAAGTTGTGGTCTAACGCAGCTTGTCGATGAACCTACCCGTATCTCAGAAAGGGGCGAATTTGCAGCGCTTTTAGACTTGTTCCTAACCACAAATCCTGACTCGTACACAATTCAAGTAGATGCTCCACTTGGTTCGTCCGATCATAAACTTATAATAACAAAGTGCGAAATGCTCATCCCACCAAGCCAACAACCACTTCCTCGTAAAATGTGGCACTATAAATCGGCAAAATGGAATGACCTAAAACAGTTTTACCTGGATTTTCCATGGCAAGAGGTTTGCTTTAAAACAGCTGATCCCACTATTTGCTGTAATGAAATAACACAAGTAATCTTATCTGGAATGGATGCATATATCCCACATACAACTAAACGTAGAGCTAATGCAAAACCTTGGTTCAACAGCCAGTGTCAAACGGCTGTACAGAAAAAACACAGAGCATATAACCTTTGGAAACGACAACAAACCGCTCAAATTCACACAGAATTTATAGAAGCCAGAAATAGTTGCAAAATTACTATTGACTCCGCTAAAGAAACATACAATCAAAGAATAAAAAACAGGTTGCTGAATTGTCCAAGTAGTTCTAGGTCTTTTTGGTCTCTTGCAAAAGCTGTTGGATCTAACTTCACCAAGTCATCCATACCACCACTTACAGATAAAAATAATCACTTAGCCACAACATCAGAGGAAAAAGCCAATATGCTTGCCCAAATGTTTTCCTCCAACTCCAACCTAACAGTGCCAAACGGAAAAACTCCACCGTTCATTGAAAGGGTTTCCCATAGTATGCCAGAGGTACCCTTTTGTCACAGAGAAATACGAAAATCCCTAAAAAAGCTGGATACAAACAAAGCAATGGGTCCGGATGGCATTCCCGCAATAGTACTCAAAAATTGCGCCAACGAACTCGCCCCAACTTTCGCAAAATTATTGAATTTGTCTTACAGGCAAGGAGTATATCCATCATCATGGAAGTCTGCCGCAGTACAACCCATTCCAAAGAAAGGAAAAAAGACAGATCCGTTAAACTATAGACCAATTGCTCTACTTCCGGTGATATCAAAAGTAATGGAAAGAGTTGTGAACAATCACCTAACCAAGTATTTGGAAAAGTACAAAATTATCAACGATAAGCAATACGGATTTCGAAAATATAGGTCAACTGGCGATTTACTTACATACGTCACTCACTTATGGCAAGAAGCGATTGAGTTGCGGGGTGAAACAAGAACAATTGCCTTAGATATGCTCAACAAGCTCAAAGCAATGGGATTATCGCCGAAACTTTGCACTTGGTTTGAAAGTTACCTAAAGGACAGATCCATTTATGTTGCACTGGATGGCCAGAACTCCAACTCTTACCAAATAAATGCTGGTGTGCCACAGGGAGCAATCCTTTCGCCAACTCTTTTTCTGATTTACATAAATGACCTCATAGATAAAACAGTAAATCCACTTTATTGCTTTGCAGACGATAGCAATGTAGTCTCCTCACTCATACCACCCACAGGTCTTTCCGCACGTGAATTCCATCATCTTAAACTAACTCAAATATCGCAGATAAATAACGACCTGGAGATAATAGAGGACTGGGGTAACAAAAACCTTGTACAGTTCAACGCGCAGAAAACCCAAGCAGCTCTGTTTTCAAAAAAGACCAGCACCGGTGAGCCAAACATCATGGTATCTGGAAGTGCTGTCACATTACAGAGTCAGTTGAACATCTTGGGGGTTACTGCAGAGACCAACATGTCTTGGCCCAGTCACGTGGCAGATATTGCTAAAAGGGCGTCCCAAAAGCTGGGGGTGCTATTTCGTACAAGACATCTGTACACACCAAGCCAATTGCTGACACTCTACAAAGCCCAGATTCGACCAACTATGGAGTACTGCTCACATATATGGAGTGCAGCACCCAAACATACCTTAATGCTTTTGAACACCGTGCAAAAACGAGCTATCAAGCTGATCAATGACCCCGCACATACTCGTAACTTGGATGGTCTCGAACATCGCAGATCTGTGGGCGATTTATCTCTCTTCTACAGGTACTATCACGGAAAATGCTCTGAAGAGTTGGCACGTATGATTCCACCGAGAGTAGCGCCTACCAGGCGAACCCGTCAAACAGACGGTAACCATGAATTTACTGTCAAACTAGAGGCACCAAGAACCTCATTATATCAGACTTCATATCTCTGGAGAACAGCATCGCTGTGGAATAAACTCCCTGCGACGGTTTTCCCTGCAGGTTACAACCTGAACCGTTTCAAGACCAACATACACCGACATTTCCGCGCACTTGCCGCTTCTCGAGCGTGATAGGACATTTCCTTGCGAGTGCGCATATCCGTAAAAAAAAAAAAAGAATCTAAAACTTACCGCTTCCACTAGATGGCGGAGAGTTAACCACATTATGTGAAGAGTTAGTTAGCATCTCTGGTGGCGGACTGCTAGGGATCACAGAAATATTTTGTGTTGTGGAACTGGTTCCAGATGTAAGAATATTAATCTGATTGCTACTAGAAATTGGTCCTGTATAGCCGGAGCTCACTGTTACGGAATTACTGTTGACTTGAAGGGGCGGTGGGGGTGATGAAATTGTAGGTGGATGAGCAGACTGGAAATAATTTTTTGTACACATATAAATATCATATAGTTTTTGTACCTACAAATCCCAGATGGTTATTTAACAAAGTAAGTGGTCCTTGACTTAAAGGCCTCTGAATCCTAGGTGCCGAGATTGTTGTTACAGTTACACCACCACTAGATACTTTTATATTGGTACCAGACCATTTAGTCCCAGTTACTGTTATGGGTGACGTTGGGAGAGCATAGGAGTTTGGCATGCTATTCATTTCTCTGCAAAGTATTCTATAAATTAATTTTTTGGGATAACAATTAAACAAAAAAATTAATATACACATCATCCCTATCCTCTAGCTTCTAGTAGTAAAAATATGTAATCAAAGCAGTGCGTCAAAAAAACATTATTAAAAACACTTACCTTGAAGTACTTAATTTTGTCATACTTTTATGTAGCCCTCCCACAGAACCACCAGCAACATTTAGCCGTGTCATACTACGATGGGTGTTGGAATTTTGCGCAGTGTGAAGTCTAAAATCATTAAATGTCAATTTTTGGAAAAAAATCATATCCAAATCAAATTTACTTACCTTCCAGTACTTCTCGAATCCCCCAATTTCGCCCTTCTTGTATATCCTGCGTTTTGAGGTAAGATCTTCTCTGCCACTGCTGGAGGTCCTACGTTAACAATTGTCACACCTCCTGATGTGACTTGGCTGTTTTGAGACAACTGATTGGAGCTAAAGTAGAAAAAAACGTTAAAAATTAAATTAAAAAATCAAAGAAACATCTTACCTAGTGTGATGTCTTTGCCTCACTCCAGCAAGTACCTTTTCGGTAAATAAAACAGGATAAGAGCTACATAAAAGGGTGGCTTCCCTCAGCAGTGTACTCTGAGATCCTCGATCAGCTTTTGGTAAATATTCCAGTACGAAATTTAATGCATCTTGTGCTCTATCCTACAATACAGGATTATTATTGGCAATAAATTAAATTTATAAAAACAACGGAATACGTTCACATTGTTAAACTTGTGCAAATCGAATGAAAAAATAATTTTACAAAACAAAAACGATTGCCTTCTTTTAATGAATATTGACCCATGTTTCTGATATCGCTACTAACTGCTGGATATTCCTGTCCTAACATCTTTATCTTTTCAACACAATTATTTTGATTGGTTTCAATTAAATCAGAATAATTTTCAAATAATGTCCTTACTTTGCTTAGTTTTCCAACTGCGCCAATGATCTGCGCAGCCAGGCACACAGTTTGAGGATGCCGTTGCACAGCTTGTTTAATCGCAGTAACGTGATCAGCCAAAAGAGCCGGTTGTTTTTCAGCCATGTGCCAAAAAATCTGCAAGGTAGCGGCTGCCGTTACTGAACTGGTCAAGTACTCGCAGAGTTGAGGCACACTGGCTTCTAATAGCTATGAAAAACATTTGTTTAAAAAAATATATTTAAAAATTACTCAAAAAAGTTTTAATGAAAATCTGGTGGTTTGGAAAACACTGAAGTCTGTAAAAAAATGCATTCGGGCCTTAAGTGAATTTGAAGGTTTAATCTTAACCCTTCATCAGTGTGGTAGAAAAAAGTTCCATTATTAGTGTGGTGGGGTATGCCATACCCCAAACTTTTTTTCGCTTTCCAAATTAAGGTGGCATCAAATAAATATTTAATTAGTTTCTTTACCTTATATGTACAGTGACCGCCAAAAAGTTTGCAACAAATGGGCAAATATTTTATTATTAAGATCTCAAAAAAAATGTTACGTGGGATCAATTCAGCGTACCCATCAACAAAAAAAATCACTGTGACAGATGTCATGTGACCACAGTCATGGCGGAAAATTTTAAAAATTCGCCTTAAATATGTGAAAAGTGGGGTTAGACGACCAGAAATCGAAAAATTGTTGAATGAAAAGTTGTTCAGGATACAATTTTACGTCCATGTGTCAATTTTTAAAAAGGTACCTACAAGGATTTTTAATAAATATTAATTTTTTGGCCGGTTTTCCGGTAATTTGAAAAATATCGAAAACATTCCACAAAAATATTGGCTTGATTAAATTTAGAAAAGAGGTATTGGATCATTTAGGAAGATTTCATGATAATTCTAAATTTGTTATTCCAAATTTTTGTTTTTTGTAGGTCATTGCAACAAGATCAGAGTGGTCTGAAAATGAATTTTTGGTTTTTTACAATTTTTCGCGGGACAATTAAGCAGAATTACTGCACTGGATTTTTTTTTTGTTAGTTTCACTTTGAATAATTATGTGAACAAGACGGAAAGTTTTTGATATTTTTCAAATTACCAGAAGACAGGCCAAAAAATCGATATTTATTAAAAATCCTTGTACCTTTTTAAAAATTGACACATGGACGTAAAATCGGATCTTGCTTGAACAACTTTTCTCTCTACAATTTTTCGATTTCTGGTCGTCTAACCCCACTTTTCACATATTTAAGGCGAACTTTTTAAAATTTGCCGCCATAACTCTGGACACATGACATCTGTCTCAGTGATTTTTTTTGTTGATGGGTATGCTGAATTGATCCTACGAAACATTTTTTTTTGATATCCTAATAATAAAATATTTTCCCATTTGTTGCAAACTTTTTGGCGGTCACTGTATATGGAATTAATTTCAATAAAAACATAATACGGACTCTTAGATTTTCTATTTAATGCTACATAATACATAATCATTGTAAATCTGTATTTTTATCAAACTAAACATACTGCGAAGTTATTATTGGTTTTGAAATTATTTAATGAGTTCTGGACAAAGAAAAGCTTAAAGGGGGTGTGCGCCAAAAATTAAAGGTTTTAGTGTAAAAAAATCTAAGAATAACTGTTCAAAGCTCGTTATTCTACGATAAACCATCGCTGAGATATACCGCTTTAAAGTGTGGACGACGCTCTCGTGACGTCACGAAAACTTCTTCCAGTTGCGCTCCGCATTGTTAATTTGATTGTTCCCGGCACGCCTGAGTGGTTTTTGTTTAGATTATTGCAGGTAACACAGGAAAAACATATGTAAATTTAATTAACTCTACTTTCTCGTGCGTCGCTTGAGCTTTTGTGACGTCATAGGGTTAGATGCGGTACCTTCATAGAGCCGTATCTGCGATATTATTTGTCATAGAGGGGTGCGGATTTCACTGTTATTCTTAGATTTTTTTTATCTTTTTTTTTGAGATGAAGTTGTTTTTTTGGCGCACACCCCCTTTAACATTTTAAATCAAAAAACATAAGTCATTATAGTATTGAAAAAATTCTAATTTTAGGCTGCATCAAAGTCAATGCAGTTTTGACAAAAAAGGTAAATTTGCATGTCCCATGCATATGAATATCCCACATTTCTGAAAGCAGTAAAATATCTTCCTGTCTTTAGCTCGAGGACAAATTATACATCTTGATCAAACTTTTCATCGTTTGTTTTGGTTTTTCATGAAACCAAGCTGATTTTTTTGATTTAATGGTCTCAAAACCCTGGTCTCGCCTGCTCAGAGGCGAGGATTTTTCTCTATCTACCTTTTCCCATAGTATTCGCAAATGAACTTGCTCTGCCTCGTATACTACATAGAAAAATGTATTATGAGCGAAAAATTGATAAGAAATAACATATCTTGCGTATCTACTTCTGCAGAAAATAGTTACACGATCAGTGTGGTGGGGTATGACATGCCTCAATCGCCTTTGATGTCGCCTTATTCAAGAATGATACAATATTTGGCGGTTCGCGTTATGTTATCATGTAGATCAACACAATATCTCAAGCGACTGAACACTAGCTGGCGCCACGTACTCAAATTTGGAAAATACCAGGATACAAAGGTCGTCTGGGGTATGCCATACCCCACCACACTGACAAAGGGTTAAGATAAAATTATATAAGTAGACATCCAAAGAAGCTCAAAATAATGAAAAAGAAAAAGAAAGAGACAACAATGATTACATTAGAAATATATTGACTTGAATCTGAAATATTAACTTAAAAAATATTGAATTTTCTACTTACAGAAGGTTTATCTTTTGCCATTAAAGAAAACAAGTTCAACAACGCCAATTTTTCCTGATTATCACAATGAGGCATGAGCGATACCAAAGCCATTGCGTGGCCCTGTAGGGGCTCTGGCGATACTTCATAAATATTTGGAAGCACCCGGCAAAGAGGATAATTCCCTGAAAAATTATTCAACAAGTTTCATTTAAAGCAATAGCTAAATATTACCAGAAATAATGGAATCCAGAATTGGCTGAACGTGAGGTGTGAGTAAACTAGCATGTTCTATAGCTGCCAAAGACAAATATGAAGCCATGTTGCGAGACAGTTCCTTGTTACCCTTATGCAAAAATTTCACAGCTACTGGCAGGGCTCTCTGCATCACTGACTTTTTACTGTAGTTCTACAAAGCAATAGCAAAATCTTATTACAATGAAAACATTTCCTGCACTTAATTTGAAGTATTATTGACATCAAATTGTTAATTTCAAGTCAAGGCTAGGATCATAATTTCTTACCAAAAATATACAAGAAATGATATCACTTGAGATCTTTGCGTGTGGAGAATCCTCATCCCTGCTGGACACTTGTAAGTTGTGATGTAAGCATGACTCCAGAAGATTTACTAGAGCATCACAGTGTTGCTCAATGCTCCCAGTTTCCCGAATACACGATGTTACTCTAGGATTTATATCAATTGATATTATTTACAATATTTTTCAAGAAAATATTTTTTTACCTTGTAATGCAAATTTCCACTACACTCTGATCATTATCATTATTAACATAATCTGGAAGCGATGCAAGAGCTGTTATTTCTTTAATCTGAAATAAACAGGTACATTTTAGGATGTATTTCATATTAGAATAAGCACAAAATGGGCATAAACAATAATTGATCTCTTGTGAGATTTCTCGCCTATTTAATTTTCTTTATATTTAGTGATTTTTTCTGTGAAAAGTGTGAAAATTAATATACTTACTGACAACTGGGAAACATTGTAGGTATGCATTGTCAGTAAATTATGAATACCTTTCAATATATTGACATAGTAATATAAGTAAGCGGTTGTTAGGTAATCTAATAGGAAATGTTTAGTCCAAATTTGACATTCAGTCACAGTATTCACGGATCTACGCCGCAAGATGAACGACGATAACGCCTTAACGGTTAAATGTTACAGATTAGAAACAAAATCATAAACAAAAAAATTTTTTAGACCGCTAAAATAGAAATTACTGAAATTCAGTAAGAGTAGATTAAGGCCCCTCTATGACATTCCAATAATAAAATAATAATGTTGAATACAATGAATTGAATTGAAATTGAATAATACTTTTCCTATAATCCCTATACATTTTCCAAATCCCTATACTCTGACACATTATTTCCATAATCCAAATACAAGAAAAAATGTGAGGGATTCCGGTCAATAAACATGCTTCCTTTGTGTGAAAAGGTGCTCGAGTTATTCATTGAACAACAACTGCCGACTCACATAAATATCAATAATAGCCTAATTGAAAACCAATTTGGTTTCCGCAAAAAACATTTGTGTGAAACAGCCATTCAATTGGTAGTGACCGAGATAGTGACTAAATGGAAAGAAGCATTGGACTCAAACAAAATGGTTTTGACAGTTTTTATTGACTTTAAAAGAGCATTCGAAACTATCGACAGGTCAATATTAATAAAAAAAACTACAAGGGTATGGTGTAGTTGATAAGTCAAATAAATGGTTTAATAGTTATTTATCTAATAGGTGTCCAAAGGTCAAAATTGGTAATTCATTGTCGGAAACAGAGGGAGTAGTATATGGTGTCCCTCAGGTTGTTTAAGGTAATTATATTTCTGAATGTGCTGATAAAGATATTATGATTAATTTATTTGCTGATGATACAGCCATTTCTGTGATAGGGGAATCAGTAGAATTAGTTGTTTAGTAAACATGCTAAATACATAATATCAGATAAAGTCATTTATAGGCACTGATACTAATAAACGAAGTTATTATTATTATTAGTATTATTATTAATTAATTTATTTAACAACGGACTTGCCACTTTACATAAAAATATATCAACAGAAAAATTAACAGAGCTAGACAGACAAACATCAAAATGTTTGTGTTTATCTAATCAATCGGGAATATAACAATTAAAAAACAACTGGATTGGATTCTCCCAGCCTCATCAATTTAGCTCATTCCATGAATCAACAGACATAAGTTTCTTAAAACAAGGGAGATTGGTACAGAACAGTTCAGCATCCCCACATTTGAAATTTGCCAGTCTACAAATTCTGGACATAGGACTATTATTTAACCCATAGTTAGTTGACGAGTTCATCTCTGGGGTACTCTAATATTAACATTACTCAGCAATCCAGGGCTTTCAATTATGCCATTTACAATCTTAAGCAAAAATAGCACATCAAATTGAGTCCTAACTTCCAAATGTGTACTTAACTGTAAATCTCCATACAAGTGTTCATAATCACTATCATCTATGGGAATAAAGTCTATACGAAGTCACTCGGACTAGTATAAATACTAAATCCCCGCATAAATCGGCTTTTTCTTTGTCAAACATGGGCGGCGAAATTTCCAAAAACACTAGGATAGCGTGGGGTAGTTTCGGACATGGGGCACCTCCGGACATTTTGAATTTACCGCCTCCCAAAACTAAACGCGTTTCGGCATTTTAACAGTTGGAGTTGGTACCAGTGCCTGCTCTATAACGCCAGACATAATTTTGTGCTGGTATCTTGAGAAATTTGGGCGTGATCACCAGAAATACATAAATAGTGACCCCAACCAAGTATTATGTCCTCTACTCGTAAGGTTTTGCACGATTTGGTGATGTTATTTTTAAGTTTTAAATGGGTATACGTACAAAGTATGATAGTTTCACACCACATAACCTATATTTCAAGAATCCATAAGACATGATTTTCAGTTTTTTTATTTATTTTTTTTTAGATTTTGTACACATGGGGCTTATCCGGACAGCACAGGGTGGGGCACATTCGGACTATCAACTTCTCATGCTGGGAATGTTCGCATGGCTAAATTTTTAAAATTCAACGTAAATTTTAGTTCTTTGAAATCTAAAATAAATTCTTTTATACTTTAATAATAAAATCATGTTTAATTTATGGTTTTTTGTCATTATTTATTTTTGTTATTTCTATATTATTTATTTTTGTAGGCTAGTGCCAAAATTTATAGGTTTTGTATGTTTGGAGTTCCTTAGACTATAACTTTTGAAGTTTAGATAGATGCTAAATTATTTAAAACATACCCGTCAAAAAATAAATTGTTTATAAAGTATATGTCCGAAGTTACCCCATGCGTGTCCAAAACTGCCCCACCGTGGGGCACCTTCGGACAAATGCCAACTTTTTTCTATTTTAATTTTCACGAAAAACGGTGCAATTTTTTTCTGAAATTGCTATGGTATTGGCTTAAAAACATATGAAGCAATATATTTGCATTTTTAGAACATTCAGTTTAGCTAAAATAGAGGTTCGGTATCACCTTAACCAAATCCGTCCGAACCTGCCCCACTCTACCCTACTAAAATTATTATTCAATAAACTAATCGAACAAACTAGAGCAGGCAATGCACTGCACTGTCTCTCAAACTGACAATCATATTGCCCCACAAAGTGGCATGAACAGAAACAGTATGTCAGCCCCCCCCCCAAAGTTTCTAAAATATATCGAAAGTTGGGAAAACTTGGATAAAAAATTTTAAGTTGGGAAAAATTGGTAGACAAAAATTTCTGCACCTTATTTGCGACGAATAATTAAAATTAACATTAGGATTGTGTCACGTGTCGTGATTCGTAATGAATTGCAAAATCACCGGACAACAGGATGACGAAATCCCAATGGTCGCGGCGATCTTTTGACGAAATCGTTTTTTTTTTTTCTCACTTTATTTGAAATAATATCGCAAAATAAACTCCACATTCTCATTGCCACTTTTTCTCCACTACATGATGATGTTATTAGATTTTTGATCAGATGTTTCGTTTCTTCGCGATCATCATTAACTTTGTTTTTTCAAATGGTCGAATTTTTTTATTTTATGCCCAATAAACTCTACTTTTTATGCTAAATCCAACGACATATCAAGCTCATAATTCCAGGATTAATAATTTATACTAGTGATCCCATCAACGAGCCTCCGCGATCTCCAGTCATTACACCGATGGATTTTGTCTTTGGAGGATTTCTTAAGAATGAAGTTAACTGACTTTTCAGAATCCATCAGTGTAATCTCTGGAGATCGCGGAGGCCCGTTAATGGGACCACTAGTGGAAATTAATATCCCTGGAATTATGAGCTTGATATGTCATTGGATTTAGAAGAAAAAGTAGAGTTTATTAGGCATAAAATAAAAAACTCGACCATTTGAAAAAACAAAGTTGATGATGATCGCGAAGAAACGAAACGTCTGATCAAAAATCTAATAACATTATCATGTAGTGGAGAAAAAGTAGCAATGATAATGTGAAGTTTATTGTGCGATATCATTTCAAATGAAGTCAGAAAAAAATAAAAACCATTTCGGCAAAACTCGGTTTTTCATGGATATCTTCGGAATATGTAATTCGGAATGTATGAAATATCAAAACATGACGCCACTGAGCTCAGTAATGCGCAACTCTTTCCAAATTTAACCAACCCTGTATCTCTTATGGTTGCCGAGATCAGACTGCATCCTTATCCGGGAGACCCTGTATACATGTCAAACTTTTAACAGTTTTTGAAGTGAAACTTCTTAGGCGGCGGTCTGATATTTAGACAAGAATATGGAGAGTGATTTGAAAAACGCATCACGTAACGTCACGTTTTGGCAAATTTCGTTACACGAGAGACGAGAGAGAAGGAATATATAGTAGACTGTAGAGAGACGGAGAAAGCGAGCCAATGACATTCACAATCACAGACGAGGAACGATTGACACAAACCAAGGTTTATGAGCAAAGAGGATTGCCTATCGTTGTCAAGCGCAGATACCCTTGTGACGTCACTATAGATGCGCGTTTCCCTTTTGTGTGGCCTTTCGTCATTACCGCGACTCATACGCCAAGTCTAAAAGCTGTATGAGGGAGGGTATAGTTTTTAAAAAGATTCACCTCCCAACACGTGCACAAATACTACACATGATTTTTCTTAGGGAAACTTCTTGTAAAGTGTATTGAAAGACGCGTCGCGTTAACGTAACGACACGTTTTGGCAAATTTCGGCACACGAGAGACGAGAGAGAAGAAAGATATAACGTAGAGAAACGGAGAGAGACAGCCAATGTCAATGACAGCCGACGAACGATTCACAAACCAAGGATTATAAACAAAGAGGATTGCCTATTATAGTCGAGCGCCGTTACTCTTGTGACGTCACTACAGATGCGCGTTTTTCTTTCATGTAGCCTTTCGTCTTTATACCCCGACTCATGCGCTATGTCTAAAAGTTGTATGAGGAAGGGAATAGTTTTTAGAAAGTTTCACTTCTTAACACGTGTACGATGCTATATATGATTTTTTTTAAGTTTAAAAAAAGTTGGGAAAATTAGGAATGTCACCCCCCCCCCCCCCCCCCCAAACCAGAGGCCTTCGCTACGTCCCTGTGCGTAGTGAGGTCGAAAATGGGTCAGTGGTTGAACAACAACGAACATAAATAATAATACATAACCCAGAACCTCAGTTTTTTATTTATTTAAATTATTTATTTGAAAATGACTGCTATAGAAGTTAAGTAATTTTATTTTATTTGTTCTCAGAGTTAATAAATCTGATTTTTGTCTTATATTAG